TAAACAAATGCAATTTTTACCTGTTCAAGGTTTCGTGGACTAAAGCAAAGTTTAAAATTCAGGCGACACCCTGTCTAAGAAATCACCGGAACGACTAGTAGAATTTTCATCACAGGCCCTAGAGTATCGTAACTTAAGGGTTACGTCAATGAAGCTCTTCAAAATCGATACTTCTTCATCAGAATCGATACACGTTTCCAAGTTTAATCTTGGCAAAATCGAAAAGCAACTGTTTTTTTATTTTGTTTTTTTTATCAATGTCGCTCTAAATCTTATGTTGTATAGAGTTACTTTAAAAAAACTGTTATAATGAAACTGAAATTACTGCCGTATGTAAACGGACACTACTTAATCTCAAGAGCTCTCGATTTTTTTTTCAGAAGTTGGGAGCTTAGGCTCTGAGCTTAAGTTCGCATCAACCCGCACAGTGCAGTATATAAAAAAGCAGGTAATTTAAGATACAGCTATTCGGAAAAGAAATGTGAAAAAGAATAAAAAGAAATGCATCGCAGAGTGTTTTCCCTTGGCAACATATTATCTCCCCTCACGGAATGAGCTAATAGAGTTATCGATCGTGGGATAAAAGCAGGGGACGAACAGGCAGGGAGAGAAACCAATCGCTTCGAGTGTTAGATAACCTTTGAAATTTAAATAGAAATTAATTACAATGTAAACACAAGTTTTTTTTTTCGTTTCATCATTTTCGCCAGTAAAAAATTAAAATGAAATAAAGCGAGGACTAATTTATATAAATAAGTAGGCGGTTGTTTGTTTTGCCAACGTACGCTGAGAATATTTCTGTACACCGCCATTGTTTTCTAGACTAGTTGTTCTCGCAACAATAAAATGTTTGCTCAATGTTTCGTGAAATTTACCGACTTAACAAACTTGTTTATACATTTTTTGAAGTGTCGACAATAGCGGTTTAAAATTAAGAGGTTAAAAAGAAAATGATTTAATTATTTAGTACGATAAAGGCCGTATTAAAATTGAATTAGTATGAGCAGATAATTAAGTTAATTGGTAAAAAAAAAGTGCGGTCGTTCTATCCCAAATAGGGGTAGTCTTGTAGCCAAGGTACAGACATTTTAAGTTGAGAAGTAATAAAGAAGCAGGTTTTACAAAATTAAAATATAAACGGGAATAGGGCGGAGGGGTGGGGTGATTCGAATGTGGGGGTGGGTGGGAGAGTTGAGGAGAGGGAGAAGGGCGAGTGGGAGAAGGGCGAGTGGGAGAAGGGCGAGTGGAAGGAGGGCGAGTGGGAGGAGGGGGAGTGGGAGGAAGGCGATGTCACTATGTAAAAAAAAATATAAAAAATTTAGCCTTAAATTACTTTTCCCCAAACATCAACCGGTCAACTTCCAATCTTGACTTGCCCGTAGGCGAGCCAAAAATCTAATCTTGAATTGGCCAACCTTATCACATGTTTAAAAAAAAATCCCACATATTTTCAAAGACTTTCATACTACCCTTTCTTTTTTCTTCCACGTTGTACTAGCTCTCTCCAGTAACTGGTTGGAAAACCTTCCTAAGGAAATTACTCATTCGGTTTTTTTCAAAGTGTACAGAATCTTTCTCCGACGGCAAGATAGAAACTCATTTTACCAAACAAACAAAGGCGAATGGACCGATCACTCCTCCGTGATTGTTCATCTGATATATTGCTCCTAGTGTCTCTCTTCTTGATGTCTATATTTCATAGATTTTTACTCTCTGTGGCGTATCTCATAGAATATCATTTTGGTGTGGGACATTTCTCATGGGATATCACTATGTGTGGGGTAAAGTTGACAAATAGGATAAATGTAGATAAGGCCCAGACGTCAATAATTAAATGAAAATAGGATCAGACGTCATTCATGAAACGTAAATATATTATAGACGTCATAGATTAGACGAAAACATTGCACACACGATATTAATTATAATTATTAATTTGATTAATTGTTACATTAACGTCATTAATTAGATTAAAACGTTACACATACGTCATTAATAGATGGCAACGTTCTAAAAGTTTCATTAATATAATGACGTCTTTAACTAAATGGAAACGAGGCATATACGTCATTAATATGTTGGAAACGACGCATGCGCCATTAGTAATGGCACAGACAACATGAGTTCAGTCGAGACATGACCGACGCCGAGTCACAAGAATACCGTTACACTGCCCTAACGCGGCGTCACACGAGAATGTAACCGTTATACTTCGCCTAAACTGGGTAACACATGAACAAAATTGTTACACCACCTCTAGACTTGGTCAAATATGAACATGACCGTACACCATCCCTAGACGGGGTCAAATATGAACATAACCGTTACATTGCCCAGACGCCAGGTCGGGTATTGAATGCCTCTACTGAGATAACTGAAATCAAATCGACTGGAATAACGAAGTGAGAGTGATCTCCCCTGGTTAGATAAAGTGGACTAGACAGTATGGGCTCGGGTGGGTGGTGTACAATAGGAACAGAGGGGTGGAGTGGAGAGGGGTGGAGTGGATGGGGGGTGGAGTGGATGGGGGGTGGAGTGGATGGGGGGTGGAGTGGATGGGAGGTGTGGGGTGCCGGAAGTGGGATGACGAGGTACAGTGAATAAATAAGGTGGGGAATAGAGGGGGGGGGGGGAGAGTGGGTATGTGAAGTGGTATGGTAAGTTGGTGGAGGGGTGTGGTTAAAGAGGGGGTGGGTAGTGTTTGGGGTAGTGGGGGAGACAGGGGGAGGTTATAAGTGAGCTGCCAGACGGAATTCATTAACGTGAGCTCTCAAAAACCTATTTAACCAAATCTAACGATCTCCCCGCTTTTAAATTGAAATTAATGTCAATGGAATAATACATTTAAAAAGTTTAAAAAAAAATTGAAATATCTAAATCCGAATCGTGCGATAGAAAAAAAAATGAGAAGAATATTACATTACACTGTTTACAGTAACTGTAACCCCATTGTTGTTTCTCGATCGATTATGTCCCCTTGGGACTAATTTAAAATTTAAATCATGGCAATAGTCCCCATTCTAATCTCTTGAATAATTTCCCTATTCTGCTTTATTGGACGGCGCTTGTCCGGTGCATTTTAGTGCAATGCGCCTCCGGGGATGGGGGGAAGGCTCATTACGTAGGCGATGAAAGATATTTGTTTACCTGTTAAAGCTAATGACTTGATGCGCGATGAAAGCTGTTTTGATTGTTTTCATTAGATAATTTAAGTGCGGCGTAAAACATATGCTCGATGACCGAATATAAGATGTAAGGCACATGCCTATTTAAAAAAATTCAAACATCAAAAACATTTTTACTAATGAAATATGTTTGAAGCATCGATGTTGTATTTGTAAAGCTGTTTGGTGCACGAAATTTCTCTTTATTAGTGAACCAAGAGATGTATGTAATGTAAATAATGTCTGTTAGTAATATCTGTTTGCATAGGTATGTGTGTATATGTATGTATGGTTGTATGTACCTATGTACGTATCTATGTAGGCCTATGCATGTACAAAGGACCCACCTATATACTCACAAGAAAGACCAGAGGATACTTTTATACAACACACAAAAAGACTAAACGACCACCCTTATAACCCAAACATTACCTAACGACCTACCAATATAACCTGTGAAATGACATAACGACCTACCCGTAAAACACAAAAATAACTAATTACCCAACTGTATAACTAAGACCCACCCGAATGACCGCAAGACCCAACAACCCACCTGTATCACCCATACCATGACCCAACAACCCACCTGTATCACCCATACCATGACCCAACAACCCACCTGTATCACCCATACCATGACCCAACAACCCACCTGTATCACCCATACCATGACCCAACAACCCACCTGTATCACCCATACCATGACCCAACAACCCCCCTGTATAACCCAACAACCCACCTGTATAACCCAACAACCCACCTGTATAACCCCTACAACAACCCACCTGTCTAACCCATACCATGACCCAACAACCCACCTGTATAACCCAACAACCCACCTGTATAACCCCTACAACAACCCACCTGTATAACCCCTACAACGACCCACCTGTATAACCCCTACAACGACCCACCTGTATAACCCCTACAACAACCCACCTGTATAACCCCTACAACAACCCACCTGTATAACCCCTACAACAACCCACCTGTATAACCCCTACAACAACCCACCTGTATAACCCAACAACCCACCTGTATAACCCCTACAACAACCCACCATTATAACCCAACAACCCACCTGTATAACCCCTACAACGACCCACCTGTATAACCCCTACAACAACCCACCTGTATAACCCCTACAACAACCCACCTGTATAACCCCTACAACAACCCACCTGTATAACCCAACAACCCACCTGTATAACCCCTACAACAACCCACCATTATAACCCAACAACCCACCTGTATAACCCCTACAACGACCCACCTGTATAACCCCTACAACAACCCACCTGTATAACCCCTACAACAACCCACCTGTATAACCCCTACAACAACCCACCTGTATAACCCAACAACCCACCTGTATAACCCCTACAACAACCCACCATTATAACCCAACAACCCACCTGTATAACCCCTACAACGACCCACCTGTATAACCCCTACAACAACCCACCTGTATAACCCCTACAACAACCCACCTGTATAACCCCTACAACGACCCACCTGTATAACCCCTACAACGACCCACCTGTATAACCCAAAAACCCACATGTATAACCCCTACAACGACCCACCTGTATAACCCATACAACGACCCACCTGTACAACCCAACAACCCACCTGTATAACCCAACAACCCACCTGTACAACCCAACAACCCACCTGTATAACCCAACAACCCACCTGTATAACCCAACAACCCACCTGTATAACCCCTACAACGACCCACCTGTATAACCCAAAAACCCACATGTATAACCCCTACAACAACCCACCTGTATAACCCCTACAACGACCCACCTGTATAACCCAACAACCCACCTGTATAAGCGTACTGCACCAGCAGCGCCAAGGCCTCAGCATCCACGTCCTTGATCTGAATCTCCTCCATGGTCGCCTCCCGCACGTTGTTGGTGAACATAGCCGCGAAGTAATCAGAGGCGGCGCTCAGCACGAGACGGTGGGCCGGGATCCGGCGGTCCTCGGCCACCAGGACCACGTCACACAGCTGCCGCTTGCCGGCGTACATCTCTAGCTTCTTCATCATCCGCTCAGCGTGGTTGTGGGATCGAAACTCGTCCGTGCTGCCGGTTGGGTCCTCCATCCTGGTGGGCGTGCCTTGCAGGTGGGCATAGGTGTTGTGCACCAGGTACCTGTAGATAAAGGGGACATTGTGTGAGTTTAATGTAAGGTGGGCATTGGTCTAGTGTGGGAGTTAAAGGTGGGCATATGTGTTGTGCACCAGGTACCTGTAGGAAGAGGGGGATCATGTGAGTTAGTTTACTGTAAGGTGGGCATAGGTGTTGTGTAACAGGTACCTGTGGGGGAGAAGGGGACATTGTGTGAGTTAGTTCAATGTAAGTTAAGGTCATTTTGAGCGATTTGAATTGTGCAACACTGTGTCACCCAGTGTCAAGATTAAAGGTCTTCAGTGTCTGAGCAAGGTCCTACGTTTCAGTGAGAGGTCTCGATTCTCAGGTAAAAGTCGCTAATTATATTTGATAGTCCACTAGTTTTAGTTAAAATTAATAAATTTCAGACAAAAGTGTTCAATTTATGTTTCAAACAGATATCATTAGTTAAAGGTAAAGATTATAAATTTTATATAAATGTCATTAGTCCACATGAAGGTCATTAATTTTTGATAAAGTTCAACATTTTCAAATGGATATAAAATACAGATCAATAGTTTTAAACACTTTTTCGTAATATCATACAAAAGTAAGTGAGCCACTAGAAATTGAAGTATGTATAGTTATAAAAATAGACGCTATTAAATAAAGACTGTAATGTTAAACGCAGATTCGAAATTTTAGATCCGAACACAACGCCCTAATCAGGTGTATGAGAATTCGACACCATACCATGTATTTTAAACGTATCCCACAAGAACTGTACATGTTCCTTGGATCTGTCTATCCAATGTATTATCCAGCCTTTCAAGCCATCAATAACTCACACAAACTTCAGCATCAATGGGACACAGATCATTGAGAAAACATTAAAGTCTATACGAACATCAAAAAGATCAATGAACGTTCAAGGGGACATCACTCTCAGGCTCATTGATATTAAAGAAGATCTTTATTTAGATCTACATCTTCAGAAAATGGTTTTTAAAACAAGCTTACATTTGGCAAAAGGGGAGATGTCTTCTATGCATTTTTAAAACGAATTTAGCACAGCTGTAAAAGGAAGCGAAATATTTATTTTGAGCTCATAGCTTTTCGCTTGTAAAACTCAGTGTGCAATATATTTTAATGATCTCTCTCTCTCTCGCTCTCTCTCTACATATATGTGTGTGTGTGTAAGTGTGTATGGATGTATGTATATGTATGTATGTATGTATGTATGTATGTATGTATGTATGTATGTATGTATGTATGTATGTATGTATGTATGTATGTATGTATGTATGTATGTATGTATGTATGTATGTATGTATGTATGTATGTATGTATGTATGTATGTATGTATGTATGTATGTATGTATGTATGTATGTATGTATGTATGTATGTATGTATGTATGTATGTATGTATGTATGTATGTATGTATGTATGTATGTATGTATGTATGTATGTATGTATGTATGTATGTATGTATGTATGTATGTATGTATGTATGTATGTATGTATGTATGTACTTGTGCAAGTATAACTAAAATTAAAAGTTTAAAGCAAAACATTTGACTAAATAACCAATTAATTGAAAATAAAAAGGAATAAAACAGTACTTTCTATGAAACGCGAGAAACCCCGAATAACATCAGAAGAAAACACAGATAAAAAAAATTCAGGTGAATTAAAAATAACAACAATACCGACATTGGGGAAAACGTGCAGGACTATTGGGAAATTCGCAGGCTAAAATTAACTCACGGTCCAGGTAACTCACTGACGCTGGGTCTGGGAGGTTAAGAAGGGAGAACGGAAGTCGGTGAGGAATTTGGGACAAGTACGTATGCCGGTTAGATCTGAGCCACATCTGGTCATCTGGGTAGCGCATCGGGTGTCCGATAAGTTTGTTAAATAGAGGGTTGCAGTTTAAAACTCTGAATATTTATTTTTAAAAACGTATTTTACTACAACTATGATTTGAATTATTTAATTACTTTTTAAAAATGTGTGTGCATTTGAGGATATATAACAAAACAGTTGATAAATCATTGACGTAGCCTAATCAGTATATTATACACAGTAAAGGATACAAGGCAGTAATTATTGAATCAGACATAAAACCATTGATGTTCACCCCCCCCCAACCCCTTTCACAAGTCACATGATCGTGTTCATGCTAATTCAAACATGGTGAGGTAAATTGAAGACGACACATTTTTTTATTTTAAAAATAAAACTTTTAAAGCAGTCTAAGCATATGAAGATGCATGTTTTCTATGGGTGGGGGGGGGGGGGGGGCAGATGCATAGCGAAGGGGGGGGGAGGGTATATATGGCCCCGGGCGCTGACCCTAGGGGGCGCCAAAATGGGTTGGAATAACAAATTTAAATCTCATTTTAGCTGCAGTTTTGCATTATAAATATAAAAAATATAGGGGGGGGGGCGCCAAATTGAAAGTTTGTCCCCCGGGCGCCGTTAAGGGTCGCTACGCCACTGGCGGGGGCTGGGGGTAAGGTGTCCTGGAGAGCGAGGTGTGTCTGTGGCGGAAATATGGGAATATAGTAGAGGGAGGTCTAAGGAGGAGGTTGGTCCTATGGAGGATGAGGTGGGCCCATGATAAGGAGTCTAAGGATGATATGGGTCAATGGAGAATAAGGTGGGTATAATACGAAATAGTTATTGATGTGTGAGAGGTGAAAGGGGGGTGGGGGTGTTGAGAATGTGGGACGCAAATACGACAAACTAGAGGCACACGAACACACAGTTAATTCAAATTAATTTACAGCTATAAATTAGAGGCGTAGCTCGGCTCTGATCCCAAAAAAAAAAAAAAAAAAAAAAAAAAAAAAAATTGATTTAAAATAAAATTCATCCATATCTTAAAACATTCGACATTCATCTTCCATTCCAAAAAAAAAAAAAAAAAAAAAAAATTAACGAGAAAAGATGTTATTTCCTGAAAACCTTAACCCAGATTTAAATTTAAAAAAAAAATATTTTTAATTAAAAACCGGCTTTCGCGATTTGAGCAGATTAGTATTGGCCCCTGGGGCTTATCTGAACCCTGGTGAGCCAATCAGCGAAGACCTGGTTTGATCAGAGCGTAAATCGATGCCATTTATTCCCCCCCCCCTGTGTTGAACAGGTTCGGCGGTTAACTCGCCGAAGTAAGTTGTCTTAACCTCAGCTCTTTAAAAGAAAGGGAGAGAATTCAAAGAGAGCGACCTCCCATTAACGCAAGGGAGAGAACTAGCACGTTTGGTGAAAGAGAATGAGTTATCTTTTTTTTTTATATACGAGAAACGTTATAAAGAAATAGCTTTCAAATAATAAAGAAATGGGGAGGGGGGGGGGTGAGTTGGGGAAGAATCGATACCGCCACAAGTTACATTACGACACGATCGATACGTTCCATCACGCTGAAGCCGCTTATGAAAAATAATTGTCTCCCCCTTCGCTTGTAGATTGCAATTCTAAGGGCAGATCACTTTTGATGCGGCGCTTCCGGTTAATGTGTGCAAAGGAGGTCACTCTATTTTCAACACACTTTGAATGCACAGAAAACAATTAGTGGTCTGCGTAACTAGGATAATCTTAATGTTGCTAGCTGGATACAAGGGGGGGGGGGGGGGGCTGAAGTTGAAGGTTGAAACTTAAAGCTGTTCGTATGGAGACCCGTGGGCCTTGTTCGGCCCTAACGTGAGAGATAATCATAGTAACAAATTATAAGTGTGTTTAAAAACTTTGAACAGAAAGACATCCCTAGTATAAAGGCATATTTAGCTTTATTTTACATTTTTAGATACTTTCCAAGAAATTGTATCTTGAAGGTTGTCTTTTTAATAAAACTGTAATATCTCTTTCATTATATAAAACTATACAGAGGAAAGGTAATATCTCTTTCATTATATAAAACTATACAGAGGAAAGGTAATATCTCTTTCATTATATAAAACTATACAGAGGAAAGGTAATTTCTCTTTCATTATATAAAACTATACAGAGGAAAGGTAATATCTTTTTCATTATATAAAACTATACAGAGGAAAGGTAATTTCTCTTTCATTATATAAAACTATACAGAGGAAAGGTAATATCTCTTTCATTATATAAAACTATACAGAGGAAAGGTAGTATCTCTTTCATTATATAAAACTATACAGAGGAAAGGTAATTTCTCTTTCATTATATAAAACTATACAGAGGAAAGGTAATATCTCTTTCATTATATAAAACTATACAGAGGAAAGGTAATATCTCTTTCATTATATAAAACTATACAGAGGAAAGGTAATATCTATTTCATTATATAAAACTAAACAGAGGAAAGGTAATATCTCTTTCATTATATAAAACTATACAGAGGAAAGGTAATTTAAAGTTGTATAGGAAACTACTTAGTTACTTACACATGTATTATTTTTACTAGGATAGTGCTTAGTTACTTACACATGTATTATTTTAACAGGGAAGCTGCTTAGTTACTTACACATATAATATTTTAACTGCGAAGCTGCTCAGTTACTTACACATATAATATTTTAAGTGCGAAGCTGCTCAGTTACTTACACATATAATATTTTAACTGCGAAGCTGCTCAGTTACTTACACATATAATATTTTAACTGCGAAACTGCTCAGTTACTTACACATATAATATTTTAACTAGGAAGCTGCTCAGTTACTTATACATGTATTATTTTAACTGCGAAGCTGCTCAGTGACTTACACATGTATTGGTTTAACTGGGGAAACTGCTCAGTTACTTACACATGTATTATTTTAACTAGGAAACTGCTTACATACTTACACATATAATATTTTAACTGCGAAGCTGCTCAGTAACCTACCTGTGGTAGAAATCATGGAAACTGTGACGCTTGAGGTCATTCTTGCGTGTCGGTCGGATGGCCGTGTACTCACTTTCACACTTGTAGGAATACATTATTTGCTGCCACCATCTACGCATTAAACTCAACCCTCAGCGCGCGCCACACGGCGCCCTCGACAAACAGCACCCGATCCTCCTGATTTTCTCCCCACTGTAATGTTTTGTTTTTTCTCAACATGCGAAATTCACGAGTTTGAAATACGTTCCAGCACACTACACACGGGTCAGGACACGGTACTGTGTTGCAGGTCAGTGGCTACACATCTAAGTGTTTAATTTAATCACTGACCACACGCAGGCATTGCTCAAGTATGAACTGGCTGGTTTACAAGTTGATGTTTAATCCAACGACAGGTAAGGTTTTGGTTTGAATCCAAGTTTTTTCAGAAAACAGTGAGTTTTTTTTTCTTCTCCTTAACGAATACACACTTCAACCTATAACTAAAAAAAAATGCCTTACTTAAGCAAAAACTGACTGAAGTTATGTAAATCTCAGCTAATTAAGAACCAAGACCACCAATTAAGCGAAAAACTCATGAAATCAAAGACCTCACATAGCAATGACTTTATAAATGCAAAGAGGTCACTACAATATAGATGGGAAAATACCTCATAAGATACGGCCTATCAAACTCCTAACATAACCAATGACGTCATACAATTAATGACCTAACAGAAAATCCACACACAGGCAAAGACCTCAAAAAAAAAAAAAAAAAAACAACCCAAAGATCTTACATAACCAAATAGGCCTACCTTACAAAAAAAAAAAAGATAATACATAACCAAATACCTAAAAAAAAAATCATACATAACCAAAGACGCCCAAAAAACCAAAAGATCTTACATAACCAAATACCTCAACACAAATAACCCAAAGACCTCACATAGCGAAAATACCTCACGTAACTAAAACTTAAAATCGAAGCCAACACCAAAGGGTTATATTTCGTGTCATCTCGCATTCTATAAATAATTGATTCCTTTTCTCCAAAGCAGCTTAAATCAACATAAATAACTAATATTGATTTTAAAAACACGAGTCTTTTTAAAACAGCTATGGTTTCAAGTTAATCATAGCAGTGGTTCCCAAATAAGTTTGGTGGCGACCCACATCTATACTGTAAACTTAAAGTATTAAATTGTATGATAAAGATTCAGAATAACTGTATCAGATGCAAGAAAGGAGTGCATGTTAGCTTGGTTTCAATAATGTATTTCTGCTTTTTGTTAGCACTTTACTATATAATGATGTTACACAGCGTACATAGTCTACACCTTAAAAGAACATACATTTCTCACACACTGTCAATAAGACGAACTGCAATGTGATATTAACACACACTACCTCTTCTTCCCCACCCCCTGCTATGTAAGTGTCATCATTTAAAGACAATCTTCGGGTGGAAAAATTAAAAATTATATACTTTATATTATGTGTGTAATTTTATCAGAGTCGCGGACATTAATGTGCATTATATATATATATATATATATATATATATATATATATATATATATATATATATATATATATATATATATATATATATATATATATATATATATATCATATGCACCCTGTACTATATGTTCGCTGCAAAACTATACACAATATTAAGTATCCATGAATAGACCGAACAAACAAACAAATAAAATTCAAACCAACACCACAACGATAGGTCCCTAAGGCTGAAAACTGAAATATGACGTCGAAAAAAACCACATTTCGCAACACAGGCCTACACACATGTGCATGCAATAAAACAAGAAATTTATCAATGCCGTGCACACGCGATAATTCAACACGCACGAAAACACATGTTGCCAATTTGCATCATCCTGCGCTAAAAGCACTTGTTGGAATCGCTGGGTGGAAAGAGCTCCTTGAAGAAAAATCACGGGTCCCCCTAACACAATGATGGCCACGTTGATGGCCAATTAATTTCACATTATCCGGGCCATTGAGCGCGCGCGTCTTACGATATCAACAGGAACCGACAAGGCCAGGGATTAGCCAAAGTCCTGATTGTGGATCGAGGAGTGGCGAGGGTGGTAAATCATTGCCGAGATAGGGGAATGGACAACTCGTTCTAGAATATTTATACTGAGAACGGTTTCACGTCGCTGTTTTACAAATGGGTGTATAGAGAGAAATACAATACACGCAGAAGTAAGAGAGAGAGAGATGAAGTCTTGTCGCTTCTATATTAGTGTTTGGTAGTTTAAAAGAGGACCCAATGGCACAATCACCCTGAAGAACGGGATAGAATTTGCCTCCCAAATCCTCACAACCCACCGTAAGCTTAAACAAACCGTGACCATCCTATCTAAACCTTCCAGACTTTTCTAGATAAACTCTTTTAAGCACAAACACGCACAAACTACCACACACAAACGTACACAAACAAAAACATAAATGAACACACAAACACATGTATATATATATATATATATATATATATATATATATATATATGTATATATATATATGAAAACATCCAACTGCCTAAATGAGAACCGGTAAAACCTAGAACACCAAAGTAAAAACAACTAACAGTTAAGATATGCCTTGAAAAACACAATATGCTATAAGTATTGAAATAATAATACCGCCCTAAACAAATGTTTTTCTCAACTGATATGACCATCCTTTAAAACACATACATAGCACGTAGTATTAAGACAAGCGGCTCCGTGGTTTATCATAAGCCAGTCGAACCTTCTGGAGAACCATGCAAAGAGCAAAGACGTGTTTACGCCTAACACGGCTGATATTTGCAAGGACTGGACTAAGCTGACCTTTGCAATTAACAAATACCAGCGCGCACTGGACACGCCTGTCCGAAAATAGATTCATGGAGAAAATCAACATACGCGATATCGTTTTCCACAAACAGTTACGAATGCGCTTGCTCAATGCGCATGTCCGATAACTGGGATACCGAATTATATGGGTACTTTTCTTTTATAAAAATAATAAAGCGATATAATGAGAGAGTATATACGAAAATAAATGAACCGCAATGCAACTAATTCAGGTGGGTAAAACCACTTCCGGTGTGTGAAACCACTTCCGGTGTGTGAAACCACTTCCGATTTTCTGGGGGCAACCAACAATACCCGTATGTGGCAGGTTTTTATTTTGACAGATGGGTAACTTTAAACGCAGTGACGTCACGATGACGCGGCAAGGGCAGGCTAGTTTCTTTACTCAGTCTGTTGATAATAGGGTGGGGGTGGGAGACCTGGGGGGGGGGGGTTACAGGGAGTTGGGTGATAGAAGAAGACCACTGATAGAATAAATGTAACCCAAAACCCTAACCCAACAATAACCCGCAACATTTATATACGGCTATTATATTTTGTCAGATAGCACTCATCATCAACGCCAACACCAAAGAAATAAAAGAAGATTTCACATAGAGCCATGATCATGGAAATAACACAATATTTCAAACACAACACTGATCAAGAAAATAACTGAGCATTTCATATATAGCCCGGATCATGGTAATAACTGAACATTTCATATATAGTAAAAATAGTGCTGTTCAATATCGCCAAAATAAAACAATATGTTAGATTTCTTATACAGTTTTTATCGAACATAGAGAAAAAAAACGAATGCCACATTTTTTCAACAAACTCGGATTTCCTGTATAACTAATGACAAATACAAACACATGGGTAACACTACAAACACAAAAATTAACATCAGATATCTTGACTCTCTGTTAAGACACGTACATATAAAATTACAAGGTTCACTAGCATCCATTTTTTGGTGCCATAGAACTCTATGATCGACTTCCTTCTGCCTCGTTACGTCAGAGAGTTTTCCTGCTGATGATGTTCATCTATAGCCGAGCACTGGGTCGATAGCTTTAGGAAAAGCCGACTCGATACCTCAAAACAAGGTATTTGGTCAATAGCAACACTATACATTTCGGTATTCGATTTTTAAATTCAAAAGCGTATCGATGCTAATGTATTTTGATTGTATATGCACTTGACAATTATAAATAAAAAAAAGAACATTTTTTATTAGCTTGTAAATGTAACTGTCTCTTAAAGAAAGTAAACAAAATTTCTACAAAGTCAGTCTTTAGTAATCTAAGTCAGGGGTCTCCAAACCGGCCCGCGAGGTCCTCCCATCCAGTCGCGAAGTTCTTTGTGTCCACGGAAAAAAATGTTTGGCTGAGGAACTTTGCCCAGAAAATTCAAAACACCCCGAAGAGATTTCTTGAAGAAAACTCTGGCTCTGGCTCCCGAACTTATATTTGATAGTTAAAGCGGCCCTCGGGCTGAAAAGTTTGGAGACCCCTGATCTAAGTAAAAGTCTTATTACTCACGCCATCTTTTGATCACCGTCATTATTTCTTCAATATTAATGAATAATCCCCAAACATGTACACTAACATTATACAACACCAAACCAACTCCCATACATCTACAGTACATAATAAATTACTTTATTTCTTTATTATTCTATATTCCAACAAATCTGCATACATAATTCTTTATTTCTTTATTATTCTAAATAATTCTATGATCCACCAATTATTTCTAATCCACCAAAACCGCCTCCATATTGATCCACCGAGCTTTGCCAAAATTCCATAAGCCACCAATATGGCTCCCATAAATCTAAACTCCTCATACTGCTCCTATTATTATAATCCACCCAGAAAAAAACAAAACTTCTGTAGTAGATAAATTGTATATACCGGTACTACAGTAGTTTTATATATTTTTTTTATATAAAAAACGCCTCGTTACACTTAATGCACCCTGATCCAGATAACACAAATTGGTGAACTATTATTCACATAGGTGCTTTATCGTCTGTTAAGTCAAATGGTTGATAAAAAGAAAACAAAACCCACAAGAGATGTTGGTCTTAGTGTGTGTGTGGGGGGGGGGGGGTACATTGTTTGGTACTCAGCCAACCCTTTATCTGGTTCATAAGGAAAGCTCACTCTGGCCCGGTCCTACAACAATGAAGAACACGTGCACTCGTCACGATGGTACGTGCATCAGACACAACTTTTCAGGTGTGAGCAGACAAAAGGAAAGAGCGACGACGTAAATAAAAACCACCCGAATAGCTTGAACTCTGTGAAATAAACTTTTACTTGGCTAACATGCAACTAGTTCAAAACAATGGGGAGAATGTGAAACACTGAAATGGAACGAGTGGCCGCTAGGGATTGAGAGTAACTGCCCTTTGTACCGGAAGAGTGTTAAAACAAAGTATCAATGTGTTTTTCTTTTTATAACGGGGCTCTGTTAAGGATTCAGTTTACACAAGTGAAAGCGTGTAAAGTGAAACAGGAGCTCAAGTGGAACATAGTGATGATTTACCGTTGTTGAGTTGGA